TGCAAGAAATTTGTCTGACTGTGCTCTAATCACCATCATGTATCACTTCAGCCACGGAGTACCAGGCAGATTAAGTAGAAATGCACAGTTTTTAGCTCATCATCTCTGCAGAAGTGTTTGAGAGGCTCAGTTCCTGGAGAGTTCTGGGTGGGTGCACAGACAGGCTCTTCATGCAGATTCACTGGCCTCTACTGGCTTAATCATGTGGTCTGGTTTGTTGCCAGCAGCATAGTGATCCCACATCTGAAGATAAAGCCGCTCCAGGTCCATTGTGTATTGTTTGGTGTTGAACAAAGGACTGGATATTCTCTGCTTCCAGACTTTGCCACGTATTTTTTTCAGGCTACAAAAAGAGTTAAAGCAGTCAGGAGAGGTTTTAAACACTTTGTGATACTGTTTGCTTTCCGAAAGCTGCTATCTCAGCCAATCCAGAACTGCAAATACAACTGTTTCCAAAATATCTACTACTCCCTTCCACCAAGTTCCTGTTGACGTCACATATTTCATCATTTCTGATGCAGATGACCATTAATGTTGGCACTCAAACAGCCTAGGCACAAGAACAAGGTAACTTGTTGCCTATTACCTGTCCTACAGTAACTTTTTACAGTGTGATTTTAACCAGCACTAAGTGATAAACAGCTTAATCCTCTATTTAAAAACAAAGCAAAGCTTGCAGCATACTTCATCTTTTAACAGTTTTTCTGCAGAACAGGTAACAGGCAATATGTTGTTATTCTGTGCAACTGGGAGCATGGATGACCGTTTACCATAAACACACAAGCCAAGTTAGCTATAAGGCAACCTCTAGAGGAAAGTCATCCAATTATTTTAAATAGCTAAGTATCTGCAAGATCAAAGCTATTGACAAGTCCCACAGCTGCACCTAACAACAGCACTTTACATTCCTCACATTACCTTGTAACACAGCATAAGTTTACTTACTATTCCAGATCAGTTCCCAGTTTCACAGCAATATCCTCATATTCCTGCCTGCTTTTTGCAATGAGCTCAAGACAACCGAGGCAAGTAAGTTGGGAGGCAGCTACTCGTGATGCCAGAGTCTCACCTGGAAATATAAGACAGGTAAGAGCAGTCAGCTTATCAGGCAACGAATGACTGATTGTGTAAAGTTAAATTCCTTTCTCCTACTCAAGAGAAGGAAAGCTCTTTAAGGTTGCTGCATTAATAAGAATGATTTTTTATTTTGTTAATGTTTTTCTCCATAAAACTGGAAAAAAAAAGAAAAAAAAAAAAGAATATTTAATCTTTACCCATCCACTCTGTCCAGATTCCCTGCTGTGTTACCTGGCATAGTGACCATAGGAGTCCCGGCCCAGAGTACATCCATCCCAGTTGTGTGCCCATTGCAAAGTGGAGTGTCTAGGCAAACATCAGCCAACTGGCCTCTCCTCACATGTTCCTCTTTAGGGGCAACGGGAGAAAAGATGATTCGGTTTTGGGAAAGACCCAAGTTTTGTGCGTACTGCTGAATATTGGGTTCTCCTACAGCTGGGAATCGCAATAGCCACAGCACGCTGTTTGGAACTCTTTTTAGGATCTGCAACAAGAGCAAGAAGCAAATACAGGCAGAGTTATCAGAAACATTTCTTTTTCTGAACAACTGCGAGCAACTGCTGCAGACCAAGATAAAGCGAAAGATATAATCATTCAATACCTAGATCTTCTAAAGTATGGGACAGGAAAAAGGAAAATCACAATTGGGAGTACAATAACTAGCACCAGATTTCATCACTCAAAGAGCCAACAACTCTGAACAACTTTTCCCAAGGCACTTAAAAGAGGAAGTCCTGAAATTTAAGATGTTGTTTACATAGCTTAATCGTGCAGACTAGAAGACAGCTTATTTCACAATGGAATACATGCATATTCAAGCTGTTTAAAATGTAATTTTCACTAACTAAAGGTATGAATGTAATCTGTACTCAATCTAACCAAAATTCTCTATCCTAATAATACCAAATCCCACAACAAGAACATCATCAGAATTCAGATGGCTCCCAGTTACTGCTTTTTCCACAGAACAATCAAGATGAAGCTTTTTCATTAGCAGGAAGTTTCTGCTGACTTCAAGGAAGTCTGACCAGATCCACAGGTACTCACATTAGCCCACATCTGCAAAGTGGAAGGGTCAATCTTATACAGCTGATTGAAGTTACAGTATACAACAGCATCTTCTGGTAATCCATACTGGGAACGAGTAGTAACAATGATAGTTCGTGGAACTTCTTCTCCAGTTGCTGCTTTGTTGTTAATCTAAGGGAAAAAAAGTTGGTATCATGAGTTACCTTAAGCATACCCTTAAGTTTATTATATGTGGAAGGCCTACCAACCCTCTGAAAGAATTTAACTGATACTTTGATGATGCAAATACACCGAAATGATATCCTGGGCATTTTCATACCCTGGCTACATCTCCCTGCAACTCCAAGTAACTGGAAAGACACTATAGAGTGGTGTGGTGCACAGACCCATCCCTTCCTTCAGGTCACCACGCTAACTCCTGAGAGCAAAAATGAAATTAAGATCTGAAGGAAGGAGAATAAGAAGCATGTAAAGATCAAACCGCTTTTGTTTTGATTTGAATAAGAGACAAAAGGCATGGAGTTGATTTAAGTTTGAAGATGCTAGTGAATAACTGATCATGACTGTAAAGAATTGGAGTTATTAGTAAGCATTCTTAAATGCTTAATAAGCATTTTTATTTTATAGCCTTCACAAAGAAAAGGAATATGCCTATATAATGATAATAAAAAGACCACACAAGACTAACTCGGGAGACCACAGAGAGAATAGAATACTATGCAAAAAGAGTTTATGGTCCTGAGTATCGGTACAATAAAAGTACGATTTAAAGACTTAATTCTGCAGTTTAATTCTCTTTGTGTTAAGCACTGGTAGGATCAATTCAAGGTAGAAGAAATTAACTTGTCTAGCTGTACAAGAGACTTGCAGCCTGCAGTAGCCTATGTACTGCCTACACACACACACACACGTGCACTCTCAGAAATATATAAAATACAGTGAGCTAAGCTTATGCCACTACTGCCTATTGTGTGGCTTCACAGACTTTACTTTGGAAATAGTTTCTTTCAGTACAAAAACTGAACGACATGACAGAAGTTAGTGTTGTTATTTTAAAACATACAGATACATTATAGAACTCAGATGGCCTGAACTGCTTCACCTGGGTGGTTGCTAGTCCATTACTGATGTTGAATCCATTGATTGTTATCTGAATTTGACCACGATTTATCATCTCAATAACAGCTTCTGCAATTGTATTCATAGGAATGACTGGCATACTGAGGGCAGCGTTGCTGTCCGCGTTGTCTCCGCTATCAGGACACTTCATCTAAAAAACACAAACAAACAACCAAACATGTAGCAGTGACAGGGTTATCCTCACTCCAAGGCAGAACACCCAAAGAAGCAGTTCTCACCTTAACAATTTTGACATCAGGGAGGCTGTCAAGGAAAGCCTTCAAGTCGATGCCGTTCAGAACAATTCTGTTATCATAAATATGACCATTAGACTTGAAATCAATGACTGCTTTTTTCTGTTTAGAGAGACAGAGAGAAAAAACAAGCGCCATTTAAAATGTTACTAGATCTCTTACCAAATACTAAGTATAATTTTATAAAGAGATCTAAGGAAAACAACAGCTAGTGACATCTAATTTTCTTGCCATCTCTATCCTCCCACCTACCTTCAGGTGAGGAAACATGTTGGCATGGTCTCCAATAAAGAAGGTATTTGGCATGTAAGCTAATTTCTCAGAATACTGCTCAGCCACCTCAACTGGGGAAGTTTCTTTATCTGTGATGATATAATCCATGAACAAGGCCCCGCTGGTTCCAGGGTACCCTAGCCACATTGCCTATAAAACGAAAGTAAGAATACCAAAAATAAAGTTAAACCAATGTATACTATCTTAAATTTTCTACCCACAAATTCAAGTACCTCCTTACGCTTTATTAAATGAAGAGCAACCACTACCCTCAATTTTTCACTAGTGAGACACCGAGCCATTTGAGGATATATTAAAATTGATCCCTCAC